TCACACTGCTTCAGAACTTTGTTTTCAAATGACCAAAAGGGTTAAAGTCTAAGGACAAAACACCTGCCAGTAACCCCCAATCCTAATTAAGCTAGTTTCTTTTTTGAGGGGAGTAGAGGGTGGGAAATGGGGAGGGGGGGAAACGACAACTAGAAACTGTAAAAAATAAATACTGGAAATTGTTTTGAAATAAGGTACAGTATTCTGAATGTCTAGAGCTCAAAGATTGTTTTAAACTGGACAACCTCCAACTTTTAAAAAATATATATTTTTAACACTATGCCAAGACCAATAGATGTACATGGATTGAGCCAGTAGGCCTTATAGATGTCAACTACTACACTGTGTAAAAGGAATTATTCTGGAAAATTCACCTTTAGTGATGTTCTAAAAATCTAAGGACCAAATTAAGTCTTGTGGCATTTGATTACAACAGGGATGAATTTGGCACTAGAAGATGTTACCTACTGGCTAGCTCCATTTCTACTGAAATATGATAAAATTTCCTTGGCCAGTATGGACATAGTCACTTGTTTTTGTGAAGGGCCTTGAGAGGCACAATAGGCATAAAATTTTATTTTAATAAGACTTAACCTAATTTGTTATTTTTGGAATGTAAAAAAATGAAAATTTTATGCAGTTTGCAACTTGATAGCAGTTGTCACAAATGGCATACTAAATATTAAAGAATACTTTTTCAATTACACTACTGCCCCTTACACCTTTCTAGAAGCATAAGAGGGCCTTAAAGTGGGTGTAAATATAATTACTAAATGTAACTTTAAGGTCCCTTTTACACTGACCAAAGAAAATGTAAAGGAGCCTTAGCACTTGTCAACCCCAGGAAACTGAGTAATTATACCAGAATGGCGAATAACATTATCAAATTATACAAGAACAATAAACTATAACATGGGCAGTGCCAGTGTTAGCCCACTGGGGGCCCTAAACAGTAATATTATGCCCCTCCCACAACACATACTAATAATAGGGGGCCCCCTTGAGCTGTTTGGGGCCCTAAGCCAGCGGTTCTCAACCAGGGGTACGTGTACCCCTGGGGTACTCAGAGGTCTTCTAGGTGGTCATCATCTCATCTAAATATTTGCCTAGTTTTACAACAGACTACATAAAAAGCACTAGCGAAGTCACCACAAACTAAATTTAATAGACAATTATTTGTTTATACTGCTCTATGTACAATACACTGAAATGTAAGTACAATATTTATATTCCAATTAATTTATTTTATAATTATATGGTAAAAATGAGAAAGTAAGCAATTTTTCATTAATAGTGTGCTGTGACACTTTTGTATTTTTATGTCTGATTTTGTAAGTTTTTAAGTGACGTGAAACATGGGGGTACACAAGACAAATCAGACTCTTGAAAGGGGTACAGTAGCCTGGAAAGGTTGAGAGCCACTGCCCTAAGCAATTGCTTAATCTGTTTATGCCTAGTGCCAGCTCTGAACACGCGGAGTTATACAGGCAAAGCTGTAGCAGTACAATCATTCTGCTGTAGCTATTCCAGTCAATTTCCTTGTGTAGAAGAGCCCTTAGTGTAAATAAGAATCAGACCATGTGTGCCTAATTCACAACTGGCATTACTCCAATTTTACTGCAGTAATGGATTACACTGATTTCAATGAAATTACAGTGACATAAAACTAGAGTAATACTGTGAAGAATCAGACCCTAAAATTTACAATAGAGCTAGGCTAATACTGACATTTTTTTAAATTCATTTTATTTTTAATAAAATAGGCTGCAATCTTGTTTGCACATGTTTGGGCTAGATTCTCCACTGTACCTGAGCTCTCCTGATTCTCATCCACTCAACTTTGGTGCAAATCCAAACAGCATGGGTACAGCTTTACATCCCCTGAGGATATGTCCTATAGAAGCAAAACTTTTAAAGATTAACAATAACCCCCATCAGTTATGCTAACTTACACTCAAAATAGTTATTGAATGTAGAATGTCCATTGCTGCTAATAATTTGCCTCTAGCGACTCTTTGCCTGATCTTTGTTTTGTTTTTCAGTTACAAATTAGTGAGGCCTGTTAATTAGTGAACATTCAGTGTAGCTGAAGACTGGATGAACAGTTTTCTGAGTGTGTGATAAACTTAACCCATGAGTAGGTTTTAGAGAAACATGATGGTTCAGCTCCATCACTGACTAATGTTACTCAGTCTTGTACATGATGTAGAGCCTGTATATAACCTATACTAGAAAATCAAATGATAGAAATGTTTCCACCAGAATTCTCAACAGCATAGGTGCTTATACGTTTATGAAAGCCTTGCTGTATTTTCCATGAAGTCTTTCAATGGCAATCCACCAAAAACAGATGAAGAAAACAAATGCAGACCTCATCGAAACTGGACTCTCAACCTGTATGTCATAAATGTCTGTATTTTTATCTGAATCAGGCAACACACCTATTACCTTGTATACAGAAATTACATTCAAATCAATGGGAGAAATTCTGTACCAAGGCACAGAAGGTACAGCCTTTGCACTGCCACCTTTGTACTGCCTGGGTTCTAGGTTGAGTGGTGTCTGCTCTAATTTATGGCAGCCTTAGTCAGATAACCTATCAGCTGTGCCACAGCCAAGAATCTCAGCAGCTCTTAGTGCTACAGATACTCTGCCTCCTGCTCCTGACACCCTCCTTCTTGCCCCATGCCCCAACATGTATTCTACTTTGGGGCTATGAGGGGTTGAAGAGGTGGCATAGGAAAACGTTAGGTGGTCTTAACCAACTTCTGTGCAGCAGGAGTTCTGCCCCAGTGGTTGCGCCTCCTTTATGACCCCTATGCACTGCCAGAATCAGCGCCCAGGAGTTGTGTGTGTATTGCTTTCAGGCTTAGGAATAAGACCATAGTTTTTCTTTATTTGTGCCTATTCCTAGGTGGTTTTTTTTTGGTGCATACAGATAAGGGATAGAAGCACTACAAATGTGTTAATAATAGATATAGTGAAATGTATATCTGATACTCAAATAATACATAATATATAAAATTCAACAATGGTTGGAAAAGTTATATGGTTTAAGACTAAAGGGGAAATTGTGATTAGCTTATAGTTAGTAAAAATAACTAACCGAATAAGAAGTTGTGAAAAACTGATAGGATATATAATATGATACTTTCATTGGGCTAAATAATAATGCATATTATTGGACATCAAAAATACAGATTCCTTAAGAAGGGACCCTAATGATCTGAATGTTTCTACAGTATAAACTTTATTTAGCTTTGTGAACTTTTATTTATTATAAGGCATAATAAAAACATATGGTACTTCTCTAATGCTTAAATCATCAATCATTAGGTTCATCCTTAAAGTTTACTGTACCTCATATGTAAAGACTACATAGTAATTCTCTATCGTCAGTACTTTTTCCCAAAGGGTCCAAATATAAGAGGTGATGAGCTCTTTCATTTCCACTGAAGTCAGCAAGACTAAAGGTTACTACTGGCACCCAGCAGGAATTACTCAAAATCTTGCAGGATCAGGCCCATGAAAGCAAATAATAGCGCCAAAATTTTAAAAGTAGCCATAGCATCCATGTGAGGAACATAAGAGTTGTTCATATTTCATAGTTTATAAATATCGTTACTTCATCTTTAAGCCACAGGCCTCTCCTCAAAGACAGTATTTGTTAAGAGATCTGGATGGCTAAGGGGATTGGAAACATGATACAATGCCTTTCACTGATGCCAGTTCTAATCTGTTTCCCTAGAGCAGCAATGAATGAAACTTGTTATCATATGATGTCTTTGATGGACTGTGTGAAATGAGTTTAGTCTCAGACCACTTTGTGGAGGACAGGTGCATCACAAAACAACCCTTACAGCTGGCACAGATTTGTACCCTGGTTGGTATTCTCAGCAGAGATGCCAAGTAAAGAATGGAGAAGGAAAATAAATTATCCTCTCACCTCTAGAAGTGTTGCCCCCAATAAAAGTTTAGACACATTGATGGAGAAGTGTATGGAAGCTTGTACTGCTGCTGCCCATTGTGTATCTTTTGTGTAAATACAGAACTTAAAGCTGTCAAAACCAGACTGGCATAATCAAAAGACAGTAATGTCCCACAAAAATAAGTATTTGTTAATCCAGTAAGCAGCTATCACCTAACTGACTGCATCCTTTTTTCCTGGCTCTCTCTCTCTTTTCCGAAATAACTGAAAACACTGTAATTCCACAGCATTTTTATGCCAGCTTCTAGAAGTATTTCCAAAGAGAAGACACATTTCTTAGCAGTTGTAGTCACTTGCTGCACTGTTGTGGATTACTTGGAGCTATGTCACGACTTGGTAATGAGGAAGCCCTGTGGTCCCACAGCTGATCCATGGAAGAAGCGCTGTACAGCACACTTTTTTCTCTCTTGCTGTGTTTCTGGGTGTGCCTGTGTGTCTTTCAGCGCCTCACCTAGGGAATCCCCTCACAGGGGAAACACGGCTGCCAGCTTGCTCAAGAGTCCTCCTGAGTGTAGACTGTGGGCTTTTACAATGTGGGGCTAAAGCCGCCCTCCCACCCCCTAAAATGAGGGGCTCACTAAGCCGCAGAATAACTTGGGGAGAAGTGCGGAGGAAAGGTCGGAAGAAGGAGGGGGCGACCCGGCTGAAGGATGGAAGAGGGGAACGGAGAAGGGTGCCCGGGGAGAAGGAAGGCAGAAGAGGAGAAGGACAGAGAGCAGGGAGCAGAGGAAGAGGGACAGCGGGGGAAGGATGGCGGCAGGGTAGGAAGCACAGGGAGGGACAGCTCCAGTCAGCGGGCGAGTGCGGAGCACTGATTTCCCCCAGCCCTCCTCCGGCGGCTGCAAGTGGGGAGGGGGAGGAGAGGGGAGGGACGGGACGTACCAATAGGCCCCCGGGGGGGAGGACAGCATGATACCCCCCCAGCTCCCGGGACTAGTCCTTTGGCCGGCGGGGGCTGCACCGCCCTGGTGTGGGCGGGCTCATTGGAAAGCGGGGCGTGGGGGGGGCGAAACGGTTTGCCCCGGGGAGAAGGAGGCGGTGGGAGCGAGCGGCTCTCCCCCCCCCCCGGCGGGGGTGGTGCGGCCCGTTCCGAGGAGGGCGCTGCGCCTCCCCGCTCAGTGACACACAGACCCGGCGCGGGGAGGCGGTGGCTGGTCGGGGGAGCGGGGCGGGCTGGGATCGTAGCGGCGGCTGGGAGCCGAGTCCGGAGCATGGCGCGGACCGCGGCGGCCGCTCCTCCCACCCGCGGGGAACTTTCCGCTGCCGCCGCGGATGCTGCCTCGTCCCCTCCACGGCGGCCCCCGGCGCTGCCCGGCCCGGGGCTGCTGGGGCTGGGGCTGCTCCTCTGCTGCGGTGAGTGAAACTTTTCCTCGGGCGGGGCCGGGGCAGTTGCCGGAGTTCGGCGAAAGTTTTTGCAGCGGGGCGGCCGGGGGGGCGACCCCAGCGGCTGCGGGGGACTCTCGCGGGGCGGGGCGGGAGGTGGCTCCCGGCGGGGGTGTGTGTGACGGGAAGAGCCCGGCTGGCGAGAGCCCCCCGTGCGCGCTGGGGGGAGAGATAACGGGTCTGTGGGGGCGGGAGTGCCCGGCCCGCTGCTCCCGCTCCCGGCGGGGGGATTGGCCGGGGCCGGGCGCTGTTGCTGGGCGCGGGTTGTGTTTAGATTCCACTTGTCGCGGTGGCGGCGGGACCGTTACTGCGGGCGGGGCGCAGCCGGGGTGTCTCCGTGGGGCTGGAGCCTGGCGCGGCGCCAGCTGCGGAGTGAGGCTCCAGCCACCCCCCTTCCAAAAACAGAGACTCCGGCTCGGAACAGCTGGTGGCTGGAGCCGAGTTGACGCTGCATAAAGCGGGGCGCGGGGTAACTGCAGCCGCCCCGCTCAGCACGTGGGTCTGTAAATCACAGCCCGGGGGGCTGGGTGCTATTTGCGGGTCTGGGGTCCTTTCTCTCCCCCCTGACACTGCGAGTTGATACCGACCAGCTTGTGGAGTCGGGATCGAGGTCTGCCTGTTTGATCCTCTCGCCCCTTGGCTGGAGAAATAGGAGCTAGCGGTACAGCGTGCACAGCCGGGTGTGTTGGGGGAGTCGACGGGGTGGGTTTTCTGCACGTGTGCGACGGTGTTTCATAGAGGTGTAGAAATGTTCCTTGTTTCTGATGCTGTCGCTTGAACGCTTGCTCCTCTTCTCCTCCCCCCCCCCATGATGTTTGCTAGCAGGGGTAGCTGCTTTGGGGGTGTACTTGTTCAGACTTCCTCCCTGCCGTGGAAAGCTCGTTTTGTCCCCTCCGAAGCGGTCACACGACCCCTTCACGCCTTTGCTTTGAATCTGCTACTGCTGTTACTGAGAGCGAGGGCTTAAAGCACGGGGACCCACCTGTGGTTTGATGTAGCCATGTGTGGGAGACTTACACTCCCCCCAACTCTGCTCTTGCGGAGAGTAGCTGGGTCGGCAGTATGGTTGAAATTACTCAGTGTCTTTTTGGAAAAGAAAGGGGGTACGGCCTGTTCGCATTACGAGTTATGGGGGAATACAGGAGGAAAGTGGACTTGGTATTGGTCGGTTGTAAGAAAGAAATTAACGCAGCAGCAATTATGTCACTTTCCAGCGCAATACTAAGTACCTAACGAGGCCTCTGCTGCTGCTTATCGCTTGCTGTGCACCCTCTTGGCGGTGGGCTTCATACAGAGACTGGGAGCAGTGTGCCGCGAGAGTGCTTTGCGGCAGTGTTTCTGTATTCAGCGAGATGCCCTTGCAGGGAGGGAAGGAGAGGGCTGCTGCTGGAAGTGCGAACTGCTGCATCATTGCCTGAGGGGGCAGACTATCACAAAGTGTGCTTCACAAGGGTGGGGTAATAACAATTGGAACCGCGCTCAGGCTCAAGAGAGCTCTGGATAATCGTGCACCGTACTTTACTGCTTTCTGTTTTTTGCAAGATGAGGTTTTTGTGGGCTCAGTCATGCTTATTGTGAACTCAGCTTTGTTTTGCTTTGAATTGGGAGATGATAGTGTAAGCAGTTTTGTGTGTGAATGGCTAACAGGCTTAACTTAATCTGTCCAGGAGATGGTTATTTTTTGAGTTTAGCACAAAAGTTAAATGTGCAGCATTTGATTTAACAACTTGGGTTGTGCAGATTTAGGTAACTGAGTTAAGTCCAGATGAGAGATGGTCTTGTTGGCATAGATGTGAAGTATTGTATGATCTAGAAGTGCTGCAGAATTAGTGGAGTTGCAAGTGGTTAAGCAGAGCTTTCATATGTGTATTTGGTGTGTGGCATGCAGAAATCACTTCCAGAGTACAGTATCAAATCTTTATATGGATTATTTTTCTTTTTCTGACCTTTGGGTTGAAAGTTGTTAGACAACTAAAATTCAGCTCATCTACTGTAATTATTACACTGAATAAATAGATTTGAAAACTAGATGTCTGTAAACTTACACAGAAATTATAACTGTAGTTTTGACATGGTTTTTCTTAACTAGAAAATTGCCAGATAATCAGTAGTTAATTAGACACACATAGTTACCATGTCTTATACTTGGCTGAAGGGACTCAAGACAACCATATTTTAATTATTATTTAAAAAAATATTTATTAAAATATAAAACTTCATGCTGAGCTATATGCTGACAACTTGTTTTTCCTCTAGACTGAGTAAAAAGAATAAGAATCAGTCGGGATCTCATGCACTAGCCCTGTACTGTAATGGGGAGGGGTTGCAAACACAGTAGGGAGGCATGTTTCTTTCAAATTTGTGTTTAAATAAAAAATGACTAGTGTTGTTATAACTGTGTTGGTCCCAGGATATAAGAGACAAGGTGGGTGGCAGTATCTTTTGTGGAGCCCAGAGTGGAGTGCTTATGCTGCCAATAGCAGGTAGTTGGAAAGTCTCTCTGACCACAGAAAATGTCACAAAAGTTGGTCCAATAAAAGATACTACTTCAGCCAGGTAGTGTCTCTACTGTAAATCTTGCAGAAGTGTTTCCCTTGAAACTGAGGAGTTGAATCAAACTGGGTTTGGCATTAATCTAGTTAGAGCTCTGAGGGGCAGCTCTAAATATTGCAAATCTATAATGCAGATTAGAGTAAAAGGAATACGAGACCTCTGGAGCTCTTGTATGTTTTCCTGAGTGTCTCATGAATAAAATGTAAGTTAACTTTTTGGGGGAACACAGTTCAAGAACTAATATCTCCATGGCTGCATGTCAAAAGGTTCTGTGTCTTCTAAAGAGGAAACTAATTGCACTTGTGTAAGATGCAGGAATATTGATAAATGACCAGTGCCAAGTAGACAGTAGCAGACTGAATCAGTGGTAAACTGATGATCAAACTTTTAATGATCAAGCCTAGTAATGCATTTCTTGGGTTACAGTTAACTAATATTCATATTGCAAGTGGTAAAAGGCATGCTTTCATAGCCTTGACAAACTTGTTGGCTAAAATCTCTGTTGGTTCTGGATGACTTTTGATCTATGTAAACTACATTGAATTCCATTATCCATTTCATTACACTTAAACAACACAAGGCTTGTCAAAAAGTTGGAATACCTGCTTTATGTAGTGCAATGTTTTCAGCCTGATTAAAAACTTGTATTGGGTGAGGGTCTTGTATAGATGTTGGTAGCCTGAAGCACAAGAAAATATTTAGTGATTCTTCAACGGCATTTTGCTATCACTCAACAAAGAGTCCTTAAACTGTCTGTACTAAATCTTTGGCTAAAATTTCCCACTTGCATGATTTCTTATCTCTTCCTCCATTGCTACCACCACAATGCTTAAATGCTGCCAGGTACGAGTGTGGACACTTCCTGGGCAAGAGAGAAACTTGTTCGTGCCCACCAGAGTAAACCTTTCCCTGTTACTAACTAGCTTTAGGTTCTACAACCCTCATTTTTTCCCAGTGCAGGTTAGCAATTTACACCTCTCACTTTGGTAGACTTGAGTGCCCACTCCTTTGCTTTCAATGTGCACTGCAGGTGTCTGGGTTTGCTGCCTCAGAAAGCAGTAAACCTTGGTTTATGTTTTCCTCAACACAAGGAGATTAGACAGGAAACAGACTGAAGTTTATAAGAGAGAAAGATTTGCGTAAAAGCAAGTATTTGGAAACGTAAGGCTATAGGTAAGTGGAAAAACATAACATGCAATCTATAGCCTATATTTACTTTCCTGTCTAAGGTAACTTGTTAGTATCTCTCACGCACAGGTCATTCCTTGAAGCACTTGTCCACTTCCAAAATCTGGGATTCAGTTTTTGTGAGACTCATGCTGGAAGAGTTCCTTTTCCTGTAATGGATCATCACTTGTGCCCCTTCATTTTTATACAGTCACATATCATTGTCTCTTGCCCAAAAGGGTCCTGATTTCTGAGAACTCTCCTAGGTTTGCTTGTCTTTGAAGTATGCTCAAGGTTTCATCTTTTTTATACCGTAAACAAAACTCTCTCCTTTGTTGGAGGTCCATTGTTCCTATGTGGATCAGGTCAGCCCTGTGACTTCCCCTCCTCAAGTGATAAGTTTGACTCCCAGTGGATTTGGAACACCATATTTCATGTACCTACATCTTACAAGAACAATGACAATCAACTAGTTCTTTGCTTTTGGTAGAAACCATATATGACCCTCTTTGCTCTAACATTGAGAAAATGGTCAGACACAGATATAATCTCGCTGCCAGAGCTTGTTTGGGCATGTTGTTGGTGTCACAGCCAGAGAACAGGTCTACTCTGGGACCTGTGTTCTACACTACAGAGTAAAATTGATGTAAAGCAGCTTACATCAACCTACTTATGTGTATCTATACAACAGCCTTACTCCCGCCAATGTAAGTGCCCCAGTACACCGACGACATAACTCCAGATCCATGAGAGGAGTAAAGCTTATGTCAGTGTAGTTAGGGGGACGCAGTGTCCGTGTAGACACTATGGGTTACTTACATCTGCTGTTGACTGTCATTCTTTTCATCTTGCTGGAACCATGAAATTGACAAGAAAGCCAGGCGTGGGTTGTCTCCCCAGGGCAGGTGGGGGGGCTCCAAATAGAGCTGGGCTGCTGCCCAGGTTCCCCGCTCCCAGCCAGATAGCTAGCTGGGCTCCTGATGGAGAGCTGCATGCAGAGCCGAGAACCTGGGCTCTCAGCCCTCCTCACTGCCTCTCTTAAGTTGATGGAAGTGCACCACTGACAGAAGGAGGGTAGTGAGGATATGAACCACCGCAGTAATTACTACAGTGGCTGTAAGTCGACCTAACATAGATCAACTTAAGTTTGTAGTGTAGATGTGCCATGGGTCTCACATTGTTACTACCAGTGCATTATTCCACCAGTCCTATCAATAATGGGCAATAATAAAGAAAAATAGCACGTGATA